GAGAGAGAATGCTTCATAGGTACATGTCTATCCATGCATCAATCAATATATTATTTTTTATCTACGTGCCACATACATGTAACATATGTATGTTAGAAAGAAAAAATATGCTAGTGTTATAATATTGAGTATGCATGCCTTGAATTTTGTTTTCATGATTGGTGTTGAATGTTGAGAACTTGTGCTTTTTAATGCATGAAATTTCAAATTTTCAATATTTCAGATAGCAATTGTTGGGCGGCCAAACGTAGGGAAATCAAGCCTTCTCAATGCATGGGGCAAAGTAGGTTGCCCAAATTTCTATTGTGAATTTCTTCCATATGTTGATCTTTTTCTGTAATGTGGCAGTTTTGGCATGGTTTCTCACTCTTCGATTTCTTTTCTTCTCTTACTTTTTCCTAGTGTGCAGAGTGAGAGGGCAATTGTGACAGAAATAGCTGGAACCACAAGGGATGTGGTTGAAGCTGGTATAACTGTTCATGGCATTCCTGTCACTCTTTTGGACACAGCAGGCATTCGAGAGACCGATGATGTTGTTGAGAAAATTGGTGAAAATTTCAAACCCTTAAATGAGATACACAGGCTCTAGCAAAATTTCTTTTTAAATTTGTTACTTATTTTCATTTATTTGGACTTATGTAATCTACATCTTCTTACATTCTAGGGGTACAGAGATCTGAGGCAGCTGCAAAAGGTGCTGATTTGATTATAATGACTGTGAGTGCAATTGATGGGTGGACTTCTGAAGATGACAAAATCCTTGAGCGCCTCCAAATTAATCAGGTTCAGGATTCATCTCTCTCTCTCTCTCTCTCTCTCTCTCTCTCTCTGTAACCTGTTTTGATAAAATCCTGCATTCCTTAGTTGACATGGTCTACCTCATCTTTTATTTCTCCATGAGAAAGATTTGTGTCTCTTTTCTTTATATTAATTGATTTACTCAAATGTGGGAACCTCTTGATACAGAGATCTCCTGGTTCTTTTCCACCTGCAATCCTTGTGATCAACAAAATTGACCGTGCTCCATTGGCTTTTGTCGAATTACCAAAGGTTGTGAGCAATGCTTTCAGTAAGCTAGTCTCCACATGCGCCTTAACAGGGCAAGGTATCTCTGATTTGGAATCTGCTGTACTTGAAATAGTAGGCCTTGATAGGATTCCATCTGGGGGGCGGAGATGGGCTGTAAATCAGGTATTTGTGAACCTATGTAGTTAAGAGACACATGTGACAAATATAGTCTCTCTCTCTCTCAATCAAAGAAATATGCTCTATCTCATGCATGAACACCCATATGCACACAGAATCACAGTCTATCAATATCCACTCTCACATTCTATTTATGCGTCCTCCTCTCTCTCACACAAACGTGAATGAACATACAACCTATAATTATGTACTCTCTATCTCTTCCCTTTCTCTTGGTTATCCATGCACAGTTCAGTATTTACTCTCTCTGATTTGTGTGTGTTGGTGTGTGCAATAACAATGTCAATTTGATTGTTCTTCCAGAGGCAATCGGAGCAGCTTGTACGCACGAGGGAAGCACTTTCCAGGCTGCAGTCATCAATCAATGAGGATTTGCCATTGGATTTTTGGAGCATCGACCTGAGGGAGGCTGCCATGGCGCTTGGCCAAATTAGTGGGGCTGACATCTCAGAAGAAGTCTTATCCAATATCTTTGGCAAGTTTTGTATTGGAAAGTAATGAAACGGCTTTCGCTTAGTATTTTGAGTTAATATATATATTTATTATTTACGATGCGGCTATTCTCCTCCATCTTCGAGAGCAGAGATCTCTTTTGAATATTTTATATGCAGAAAATCTCAGATTTGTTTTTCTTATGTTATTGTTATCATCTTATGCACTTCAACCTCGAGGAAGATGTTAGTAAATGATCAACTTCTCTTGAAATAGTTTAAAATTTTGTTGAATTTAAGTAAATTTTTGTGCAGTGTTTGAGCTTCAAATGTGAAATGATTATTCTGCAATTTTGAATATTAGTATGGAAGTAATTTATTTTTCTTTGCTAATTTTGTGAGGGGTTTAAACGGGTACCCCGCCCTTTATATTAACATGTGAATAATTTGAGAACGGGAAACTTAGAAGTCTGTACTGTAAGGGAACTAGGCAGCTCTAGGATGGATTGAGCACTTCCATATTGCTTTTAGAACTTCATTTTTGCTCCCATGTTATTTAATAACATTATTGAAAGGTATAGAGCCGAGGCTCTAAACAATCCAATTGGAGCCTATCTTCAAATAGTGTTGGAGAAAAGTGATTTCAATACTCGAAATCTTTGTGACAGCCGTAAAATACATTGTCATCTTTAATTATAAAATTTAAAGTTTAAAAAATAGTGTGGATCGAGCAGGTCTATGACAATCTTGAAAATTGATGGTCTAAAAATGCACTTCAAGATGCAATATTTCCAAAATTTGAAATTCATTTTTTTCTCATTCGACATTATGAATTTAAGGATATTTTGTAATAAAAAATTCTTCTTCTAGTGAAATATTTGAGGTGGGCTCTAATTTGATTGTTTAGAGCCTGGGCACTGTATAAGCTTTTCCCTTATTGAAATTCTCTTCTTGAGAGAAGTATCCATTTTACGAGGGAATCTTGCTGATTTCTTCTACTTCCTATCACTGTGTCTCTATGAGAATCCTCTTTGATGATCAATGGCCTGCTATGTTGCCTTTCCAAGCCCATGAGTCTCTCCTTATGCTCCACTAAATGACCAACATCCCCAATATAGGTTAGAAAACAAGGATTTGTCAGCCCCACAACTTAGGTTCTTGAGTTAGGATTTCTAGATTACAGTGACTTTTCTAAACTCTCTTATCAAATATGTCATTAAAAGAGCGATGTCCTCTCCAATCCTATACATCAATGAAAATGAAGGATAATCTAGGCTTTTCATTCAAAATGTGGATAATGGTTTTATGGAAGGAAAAAGTTTATATACGGTGTCAACCTATACAGTAGAAGGTGCACCTTAAAAACCCATCAAAGAAACTTGTTTTGTTGCTAGAAAATTTTCCAATTGATTATCTTGACTTCTATGTGTATGGATATAAAATAAAAAAATAAATTTTAAGTTTTAGAAATAGTACATATTGTAACATATTATCTGGGCCGTTTATTTTTATGATTTTCATGTGTTCAATAGATCTGCTAGATTTGCACCATTTTTGGAGCTGTCAATTTTATAATACATGTGAAAAATAGACTCTTGGGCCAGATGAGAGTTTCGACATCAAAAATACATCTTCTAATAATATTTTGAGGCGCAACTTACCATGATTGTTTAAGGTTGACACCTTATACAAACCTCACCCTTTGAACATAGTATATGTTGAATTATTATCAGAAAAAAATTATATAACGTTGCAACCTTATAATGTAAAAGTAAGCTGAACCTTAAAAATTCAAAAGAAAAGAGCGTTCCAAAGGAAAACCTTCCGGTTGATTACATTGACATTTGGATATAAAGAAAAAAAATGAATTTCAGGTCTTAAAAATAGTATATATTATATAACAAGTTTTATGGACTATCTATTTTCAAAATTTTCAAGTACTTATAGATTTGTTCAATTTGCACTATTTTTAACATTTTAAAATTTCTAATTAGAGTTGAACTTAGATTTTCGAACCATCGTGAGGTTTCTAACACGAGTCTTCAAGCAAAATTTAGAGGTGTGCTTTACTTGTATAGCATCAGGTGCGCACCTTATAAAAAATCTCACCCATTATTATGGGTCCCATGAAGAAAATATTTCAAGTTCTAGATGTAACTTTCTAGGCAGTATTGTATTTTGGTTGAATGTCATCATAGTGTAGGTATGTTGCATGTTATGTAACCGTCCATCTTACAATTTGAACAGTTAAAGGTGAGTATGACTAGCCCCAGTGATTTATGACTGGTTAATGGCCGTGCAAATAATGACACAGTAATCTATTGTCATCCCAAAAACGTTTTGGAAACGAACGTCTAAGAAGCTCTGTACCATACCCATAGTATGGTCCAAATTATCATAGGACATGATCTTGCGATGCATTTGTTCTAAAACAAGTGCACCTTTACCCTTAAACAAGTGATTTCGGGCAACAGTCTATGTAATATAATGAAATAGACTTCAAAAATCATATTGGGCCATTTGTGTCACAACGATTTTTATATATACATACTCTTTTAATTCTAATAAATAATTATAAAAAAATAAAATTTGAAAATATGTTCTAAAAAGTGTTTTCCTATCCCAATTAGCATAGGCTATTTATTTTGATGAGAGGCTGAGATCTAGGCTTTAGAAAGATTTTTTATTTTTTCAAAATTTTTAAATGACTTTATTGTCACCAAATGGATGGTCTAGATTTATTGTTGGAGGTGGACTCATTTTGGCTCTATTTAGGGAGCAATTTTTTTTTTTTTTTAGATTGATCATTGGGATGAAGAGACGGTATGTGCCACTTTTAGGGTCATACAAGTGCTACAAACAAAATTTTCTAGAAGTGTGGTTTCATTTTAATACAACAACACGACTACATGAAATAACTCCCCTTTATTTTATTGAATAACTTTTTCATATTTTGGGTGCTTGATGGTGAGATGTGTAGATCCCCAAAATTTAAACATAATCAGATGTTTATTGAATAACTTTTTCATATTTTGGGTGCTTGATGGTGAGATGTGTAGATCCCCAAAATTTAAACATAATCAGATGTATAAAAATTTAATTAAAATAAAATATGCGATTTTAAAAAGAGAGCTTGAGTAAAAAAATATAAAAATATAAAGGATTGTTTTTAAAGGTGGTTTCTATAAAGTTGCAACCTTAAACAATCCAATTAAAGTGCACCTTCAAATTTTATCATAACATATAATTTTGATGTAAATGTTATTAGGATTATCTCAAAATCTATTTTTATATTTAATTATAAAATTTTAAATTTAAAAAATAATTAAAATCAAGTAGATCTATAAACATGTGAAAATCTTGAAAATGGACGGTGTAGATAATATATTGTAAGATGCACGATTTCTGGGACTCAAAATCTTTTTATTTTTTATAGTCATACATTTCGATGTCGAGATGATCAATCCTAAGGCTTTTCAACATTAAAACAACCATTTTTTGATGAATTTTTGAGGTGTATATGTAGTTGAACATTTTAAGGTTGCAACCTTCTATAAACTTTTTCCAGTTTTAAATAGGGAAAGTATATAAAGAGACCATGTATCATTGGTATAAGGTGGTCGCAATTAATCTTGACCATTGGATGTGAAATTGAGTGGCTGCATTTATTTCATTGACCAAGCTCAATGTTCAAAAGAAATGTTCTCGAACTTTGTGACACACCCATGCTATCTGATTTTACAATGGATGGATGTAAATAACTGTGACCTTCATGCACTAAAGATAAATCATCTTGTTATATACAATTCCTTTTAAATATTAAAAATAACAAGATATTTCATAAAATTTTCGCTTTCTGAATGTTAATTTGAGACCTAAAACTTTGGACATGATGACACCTGCAACCTCCCAAACCTGTGGCCTAAGAAGGTAATTGTTCTTCATACTTACTATTCAAAATTTAAGGTTTAGACCTGAAGGCTCGTTGCAATGCTCTGAAGGCCGTGCATCAATCATTGTTGCTGAATCGGAGGCATGTGAGGTGGTTCTGTGTCCTCTATTTATTTCTTTTTTTTATTTTTATCTTTTTTATTTTAGCAATATCGAGTTGGGTTCTTTTCCTACCAATATCGAATAGAACATGATGAACAAAATTTTCTTCATGTAAAACCTGTTCGATTTAGATCGAGAAAATCATATAGGTTTTATAAAACCAAGTGTTAAAATGAATAGTATTTTTGCCCATAGGTTCGGTGCCGTCAGCGTGGATTAAAAAACCATAACGGACATAGCATATCCGTGGCGGTATTTTCACTTAAAAAAACACAGACAACTGCCACGGTTCCCGTAGATCCGTGGTGGTTTTTAAGGCAAAAACGCTTATAGCTATTGTTAAGAGTTTTCCATATATATATATATATATATATATATATATAT